GTGTGTGCAAACCGCATCACATCAGCTTGAAAGCAGGTACGTAGGAAGAACGTCCTATAGCCTGGTGAACTGCCACGAGTTGTGTGGGGCACAGTAGGCAGTCACCCTGTGCCGCTCATGCTGGAAAAGTTGTTGCAAAACAGAAGTCTCGCCAATCAGATGTCCTGCCAAACCGCCTAGCTTTTAATCAAAGTGTACACACACACAAACGCACACACCGACTGACGGTGAAACAACCAGCATCACACCTTGTGCCTTGGTGACCTCAGTGCCTTCCCCTCCTCACTGAGGTTTAGGCGAGGTTTGATCTTCAGCGCCTGTCCCGAAAGACGTTGCGCTCGGCTTTACCATTCGCTTGCGCAGTCGGGCGAGGCCTCGAAAGTCCCAGGAGTCTCCCCTGTGTCGGGGAGGCCGGCTCTCCTGCCGACGTGCACAGGGTTGCATCACCAGTCGCAGCCGGTCATGTCATGTAACTGTATATGTAACTGTATAGCAGATCATGACACACTGGGGCACGCTGTCCAGGTCGATGACAGGATCTGGAAAGCTTGGAGGCGGGGATTGTTGCAGAAGCGGCCCCGGTCCTAGACAGCTGAGATATTCTGTGTCTTGAGTGAATGCTGCACATCGTGTGTGTCTTGGTGCATGGCGCTTGCCCTTGTGAGCTCGGTGGGCGAAAAGTGGCTCCAACTGTCAAGGCTCAACTACACATTGACTGGGGAAGTTAATTGAATTTCAGAATCCAGAGTAGGCATTTGACGCTAGATATGAAACGCGAAAATCATGACGTCGCACGGACATGAAAATCAAAAGTATGGACTCATGGACGTCACGCTCAATTTTGTTTCTGAAATTAAGCGCCCAGCCAACCAAACTCAAGGGCCTTGAGGCTCCAATCTAAGGAAACCCTAAATGCATAGACAAACAAAAGACTGCCCTAAAACTCACTCAACCCCTGCAGCAGTAAAAAAGAGCCTACCTGGGCCACCCTGAAACAACCCCAAAGCGTGAGTGGACTTTGGAGCTGCAGGCCTTGTGGGTTTGAGTGCTTGGGGAGGGTTTAGGCCCTAGGAGTCCTAGGGCTTGCTGGTGCCAAACCAGGTCCTTAATTTGGCTTACTTGTGACGCCACGAAGTTGGATTTGAAAAATGACGTCGTTGACGTTGCTATAATTTGTACAGACTTATGCCGCTGACAAAGCTTGCAGAACTGGAGTAGCTGGAGCAAAACTTGTATCAGATGATACGAGTAGGTAGATGTGATTTCGGCGAGGAAGGTAGCTCTGAGGAGCGGGCCCTGTCTACTCGCTCAAAGATGCGGGTCACGGCAGGAGGCATCACCATGGCCCTTTGGGCGTGCCTGCGACGTAAACCCCAATCATTCATCGGTCAGCACTGGCTCAACCTCTCAGCACGACATCTAACCTCTCACTCAGAACCGGACATGGGCGACTCTAGAGTCCGCCCCCTGTCCATGCCACCCCTCACGTCAGGATGGATCCAGCAGCCATTTTGAAGACTAGCTAAGACACCTGCACGAAATGGCCGCAAGGATAAGCTGCAAGCACAGCCTTGCGACATGCTGCGACCGCTGTGATCTGGAGTGTCTCTGTGACAGGCACTCCGGGACTGCCAATTTTGCGAAGTAGCTCGCGTCGAGATTGGACAAAGCCGGGATTGTGGACAAAGCCGTAAATCGTGCGGCATCTTTGATGCCGCGACGTTGGGTGTGGCAGATCTGTACTGCCTGGGTCTGTGCGTGCATAAAAATTGCAGATTATTTCGACAGGCTGCGGGATACCTTGTTCGGCTCCGCTCGCTTTTTCTGATTTTTTTAATTTTGCTGGCCACACGGCTCACTTAAACATCCTGCAAGGCTTGGGCGGCATTCCTGCTGTCACTGTACCTTCAGTAGATAGAATTATATATATATATGTATATATATATATATATATAATTATATATATATATATATATATAGAGAGAGTGTGTGTGTGTGTGTGTGTGTGTGTGTGTCTGTGTGTGTCTGTGTGTGTGTGTGTGTCTGTGTGTGGTCTGTGTGTGTGTGTGTGTCTGTGTGTGTCTGTGTGTGGGTCTGTGTGTCTGTGTGTGGTCTGTGTCTGTGTGTGTCTGTGTGTGTCTGTGTGTGTCTGTGTGTGTCTCTGTGTGTGTCTGTGTGTGTGTGTGTGTGTGTGTGTGTGTGTGTGTGTGTCTGTGTCGTGTGTGTGTGTGTGTGTGTGTGTGTGTGTGTGTGTGTGTGTGTGTGTGTGTGTGTGTGTGTGTGTGTGTGTGTGTGTGTGTGTGTGTGTGTGTGTGTGTGTGTTTGTGTACACATATGTACATACGTGTATATGCACATGCTCATTCTGCGTGTATACTTGTACGCCATTTCCCTGCTGCCCAGCTTGCAAGGGCAAGCATCTTCTACATGGTGTTCTAGAAACGAGACAAACGGTCATCCTGCTTCACTCCTTTGGAAGCCGACAGAGCTTGATTTCAACACAACTTAGAATTGACTGTAATTGGCCATCAGCCTGAGCTGTTCAGCGCGATTCTCAGCTCGATTTTCAGGGCTGCAAAGTAGTTCCGATCGGCATCCTCACCTTCGCCGTTTTCGAACAAATAGTAGGCACGTTCCAGAACCCGTCTTTCAAAGTTCTGCTCCGGGCCCTCCTTGGAAGTCCTCCTCGCCTTCTTTCCAGTGACCTCAAGTTTTGGAGACTCAATCGACTCAATCCAGAGCACCCCCGACACCCCTCATTTTCAAAAAAAATAAGCGCTTTAAGCGCTTGATGTTCATATTTTAATTCCCAAGCTGCCTCAAACGAGTGCTGGGCGGACGCCCCGTAGACTTTATCTACGCCACCAGTGCTGGTGCTGCTACTGGCTGGGTCACCTGCGGGCGCTGTGCTGGAGGTGCTCTTTCGCTTCCTTTGGCCCTGCCTGTCATGACTGTCATGGTCATGCTGATCATTCGCATGGCTTGTGTTGACGGCCCTGCCGTGCTCACTGCCGGCTGTGTTGCCGTGCTGGACAAGGGGATTGGGCCCACTTGGTTGATTCCTTTCATGTTCGGAATCAATAGGTCCAAGAGGTGAGTCCTGGATTGTCTTGCTTGTGGGTGGGGCGCTGTCTACCGCAAACAGAAAGTTGGAGAGGTTCTGCGGCGGCTGACAGCCTTCGGCTTTCTGTGGGGACGAAGCGGCGTCGACCGCGGAGGTGTCAGATGGCTGGAAGAACAGGAAGTCCGCAAAGCTCGAACTCTGCGTTGGTGCAATTGGTGTTGGTTTGGCATCCAAGGTCTTGCTGGAAGTTGCTGATCCAGAAGGCTTTGACTTCGGGCTTGGCGGACGGCACGTCTTTGCTCGGCCTGTGCTCACCTTGTCAGATTCTGAGCCTTCAATGGGCATGGGCCTCGGGCTGATGTCCAGCTGCTCGATCGCTTCAGAGAACCGCACCATCTTCTGGGGTCTGGGTCGGCTGGCATCCCTAAGAACCGGCATCAGAGATTGAGAAGATCTTGCTGCGGAGGGCATTGAGGATACACTGGCCGAGGCATTCCCGAATGCGCCATTTGTGCTCACTGTCACCTCGGTCGCTGGATGAAAGGGTGTTTGGAATGGGGGACTGCCCTCCAGCGCCCTGTGGTTCCATGCCACTTCGCGCTTCAGCAAAGGGTGGCTCTGCTCTGCTGGTAGATCTTGAGAGCGTGCATGCTGCCTCCGGCGAGCATCAGCCGCTGGCTTCGCAGCCTGGCTCGTGGGGGCTCGGTACTTGTTGTCTTCCCTACTTTTTCGGTGTGTGTGGGGGGGGGGGGGAGTTTCTGACGTCCCTGAAGAGGCTTTTGGAGGGCTACGCTTGTGACAACAGCAACTGCTCGAACAAAACCTTAAACCCACAAGTGCAAAACTGCCTGAACCCCAATGGATGTAATGGAAGTCTTGAAGGAACTTCTTTCTTCTTGTTTTTTTTGGGGGGGTCCGGCTACACTCCCTTCAATCGCCCAACCTCAGCCGGAGTTTCTGCGGAGAGCGGACGGTTCTCGAGCGCGCCCTCGGCGTCCTCAATATGATTACTTGAGGCCTCTGCTCGCACTCCGGCACCTGCTGCAGGCTGACCTGGAATCGTCGGCACTCTCGGAGGTGGAATTGTCGACGCTCCTGTGCCTGTGCCCGGAATGGTGGCTGCTGCTGGGGTGCTGGGCACTCCAATTCCTCCAGGCTGACCTGGAGTCGTCTTTGCTCCTGGTTGAGCCTCCTGCACCCCAATGGACGTCTTGAAATCTTCCTCCGCTTTCTTGGCGGCAGCTTCTCTGGCCAAGCGCTCCTCATCCGCCTTTCTTGCTGGCCCTTTTGCAGCTTCTCTGGCCAAACGCGCCTCCTCCGCCTTTCTTGCTGGCTCTTTGGCTGCTGCTTCTCTGGCTAAGCGCTCCTCCTCCGCCTTTCTTGCTGGCTCTTTTGCAGCTTCTCTGGCCAAACGCGCCTCCTCCGCATTTCTTGCTGGCTCTTTGGCTGCCTCCTGTGCCAAGCGCTCTTCTCCGGCTTTCTTGGCTGCTGCTTCTCTGGCCAAGCGCTCCTCCTCCGCCTTTCTTGCTGGCTCTTTTGCAGCTTCTCTGGCCAAACGCGCCTCCTCCGCATTTCTTGCTGGCTCTTTGGCTGCTGCTTCTCTGGCCAAGCGCTCCTCCTCCGCCTTTCTTGCTGGCTCTTTTGCAGCTTCTCTGGCCAAACGCGCCTCCTCCGCATTTCTTGCTGGCTCTTTGGCTGCCTCCTGTGCCAAGCGCTCTTCTCCGGCTTTCTTGGCTGTTGCTTCTCTGGCCAAGCGCTCCTCCTCCGCCTTTCTTGCTGGCTCTTTTGCAGCTTCTCTGGCCAAACGCGCCTCCTCCGCATTTCTTGCTGGCTCTTTGGCTGCCTCCTGTGCCAAGCGCTCTTCTCCGGCTTTCTTGGCTGCTGCTTCTCTGGCCAAGCGCTCCTCCTCCGCCTCTCTTGCTGGCTGTTTTGCAGCTTCTCTGGCCAAACGCGCCTCCTCCGCCTTTCTTGCTGGCTCTTTGGCTTCCTCCTGCACCAAGCGCTCTTCTTCCGCTTTCTTGGCCGCGGCTTCTCTGGCCAAGCGCTCCTCCTCCGCCTTTCTTGCGGGCTCTTTGGCTGCCTCCTGCACCAAGCGCCCTTCTTCCGCTTTCTTGGCTGCAGATTCTGTGGCCAAACGCTGCTCCTCTGCCTTCTCATCTGCCTTTCGTGCCAGGTACGCTTCTTTTGCTGGCTGGGCTGCACTGGCTGATACCTTGGCCAAGGGGTCCTTCTCTTCGTTCAGTGCAGCCTCCTCGGCGGCTGCGACTTTGGTTTGTGAGTCCTCCGAATCTTGGCCATCGGTGGCCTCGGATGCTGCGACAAGCACACACAGCGATTGCACATGGAAAGAAGGGAGGGGTGGGGGAGGGAAGCTTCCATGCGATCAAGCCTGCTACAGCTGCCCAAAACCCACAGAGCTGATAGGTTTAGCCGCCATACGCAACCCTTTCAGGGATTAAAAGGGGCACTTTCTTCCCCAATTAAACCTTAAACCCTAAACCCTACACCCAAGCTCAGTAAGATCATTTGCTGGGGTCCACACCTTCGGCGCCAGCCGGCAAGTTTCCAGGTGGGTTCGGAGGCGCTGGCGTTGCGCAGTGTCCTGGTGGGCTGCTTAGGGTTCCGGGTTTTCTTGGCTTAGGGTTTGGGGTTTAGGGTTGGAGACCATGAATTAAAGCAACTCCAGAGCCCTAAAGGATTGAGCTCCAAGCCTTCGGAACCTAAGCCTTCAAGCCCCGGCAGGAACTTCTTTCTTCTTGTTCTTTGGAGGGGGGGGGGGGGGGCCGAAGCTCAGACTGGGACAAGGCATGTAGGGCAATGGTCGTTCTACAGTTAGGGATTGAGGCTTTGACTTAAGGGTTCGGACCCCTGTTGGTCCGTTATTTCTTTTTGATCATTGCTTGGGTTTCTTAGATGTTACAGGGTGTTGTGAGCTTTGAGGCCTTGCTTTGGGCAGAGGTACTCTGCGGCGTCTTCGGCCTTTTCAAAGTTGTGTCGTGGTCGAGGTTCTCTAGAATTCTTGGCTTGGGGAGTTTTCTGCACAAAGCAAGCGTGTTCAGGGCACCTGAAGGTGCAAATCTTAGTTCGCAGCTGCTGGGGCAAGAAAGGGTCAGGTTACACTCCCTTCAATCGCCCAGCCTCAGCCGGAGTTTCTGCAGAGAGCGGACGGTTCTCGAGCGCGCCCCCGGCGTCCTCAACATCATTACTTGAAGCCTCTGCTCGCAGGATGCTTGCAGCTTCTGGGTTTCAGGTCCCAACCTCCCAACCTCCCACTCCCACCGACGCCGTGAGGCCTCTGCTGGAGCATCTGCAAACGTGGGGGAGAGGTTGTCTGCGGCGTCTTCGACCTTTTTAACATCTTTTTGTGGTCGAGGTTCTGTAGAACTCTTGGCTTGGCAGGTACAATATGGCGGTTTACGATATTCGAGGTTACCTTTTGGGGTCCCGATGAGAGGGAAGCCGACTATTTAGGGGTCTATTTTAGGGGTCCCTACTTGCGTAGCATGCGCAAGGCAAGCGTGTTCAAGGCTTCTGACGGTGCAAATCTGAGCACTTCTTCTGCGCAAGAGATGGAGTTGCAAAATGCAACCTTCCTCATAATTGCCCGGCCTTAGGCGGAGATTCTGCGAGCAGACGCAAGGATGCTGTAGCAGTAGGTTCGTGGTGCAGCATTGGGGGAGCTCCCTCCTCCCCCTCCCCCTCTCCCCAGTGCCGTGCGGCCTCCGCTGGAGCATCTGCAGATTTGGGGCAGTGCTGTGCGGCGTCTTCTGCCTTTCATGACCGAGGTTTTCCGGGATTCCTGACTTAGGGCCTTAGGGCCTAGGGGGCAGTGTGGTCAGGAGCATGCTCAGGACTTCTGAAGGTGCAAATCTTAGCTCGTAGCTTCTGGACAAAAGGCAGTACCCTTCCAATTGCCCAGCCTCAGCTGGAGTTTCTGCGGAGAGCGGACGTAAGTTCTGGTGCTTCTCGAGGGTCTGCGCCTGCGATAGTAGGTTTAGGCTTCGATAGGGGCTTCCGAAATATGAGGGTTGCCCTTTTTTGGTACGGGGTGGGGGAGGGGGGGGGGGGTTCCTGCAATAAGGCTTTTGTTTCAATTTGCTGGGGCTATCTTCGGGGAACTCCCTACTTGGGAAAGTACCGAATCGACGGCTTGCAAGGCGCCTGGGGATGTCTCCGATCCGTGATCCAACTAAACCCCGAACCCTTTTGAACCCTTTTGAACCCTTTTGAACCCTTTTGAACCCTTTTGAACCCTTTTGAACCCTTTTGAACCCTTTTGAACCCTTTTGAACCCTTTTGAACCCTAAACCCTAAACCCTAAACCCTAAAGAAGCTGCTTCATCCTAGGACTGAGGGCCACGCCAGTCAACCCCCGAACCCTAAACCCCAAACTACTATTTGCTTAAGAACACCCACCCCCCAACCAAAAAAAATCCTTATAAGGGCAATATAGGGATTATTGTTGTATATTATATATATATATATGCTATATATGTATGTATGTTTCGGGGGTTCTTAAGCAAATACTAGTGAACCCGTGGAAGATGCGGGATGCAACCATAGAGCCTGTTGCACCAGAGACTGTAGAACCAGATGCGTCGAGCTGGCGTCGGAAGGCGCATCATGATCGGAGGCCTTGCGCCAGCATTGTGTGAATGCGTCTCCCATGTATCACAATTCTGCAAAAACAGCTCGCGCTCGTCACGCAGGGGTTTTTGGGGTGGGGTTTGGAGCGCGGGGGTTGGAAACTACTTCCGGGCTTTAGCTTCCTTCCAAATGAAACTTGAATGGTTTAGGGTTTGGGGTTGAGGGGAGCTTAAGACTATTAGCCTACAAATGACAAATGAGGCCAAAACGCGAAGGACCCGCGTTTCATCCAACCCCCGATGTCCTCCAGATTCGCTCCGAGCACGTCTTCGATCTCCCGGATGTCGCGAGCCTCCTTGTCCTGTCAGAACGAAACCTTCAATTTTGAACCCTTCCTGAACACGTGCGATCACGCCCCAAGCTCCTACAACCCACTTAAAGACTCTAAATCCTCAAGCCTGAACTTAAAAACTGCCGAAGCCCCTAGGACCGAAACCCCCACAAGCTGGGAGGGCCTAGGGCCCTTTCGAAACCTAAACAAATCCTGACCCGCGCGGTTCATGAAAGACCTTTGGGGTTTCGCAAGTATGAGTGCCCAACATCGCCCTGCATTTGCAGTCTGTATATACTCAGAATCTAACCCCGATTGCCCAGAGATTCGACCGAGGTCCGTGGGCAGTTTCGTGGCTTGGCCGTGTTGGAGCTTTATGATGCTTCCTTATTTGGTCGGGGTTTAGGGCTTAAGATTAAATCAAATATCGGATGTCCTCCTCCTCAGCTGGGCCATGGGACTCAACATCTTCACCGACCTCGGCTCGACTTCGACTTACGCCAGCGAAGCCTTCGAACAGTGTAGACCAGAACATCAAGTCTTGAAACAACATTTCCAACATGAAGACAGGCAAAGGGGGACGCAACCCACCAGATTTCCGGGCCTTCCATGAAGGGAGACAAGGGGAGACAAGCATATCGACCAGTCGGAAATTCTTGGAAGGAACTGGCAACCCCAACAGTCTACTGTTTGTAGGAATCATCGGGTGAACCATCTAGGCTCCTGTGATAGGGTCTTGAAGATGGATCGCTTGGCACCCGGCTGGAAGAGCCTGAATGGCATCCTTCGCAGACTGCTCATGGTTGGATTTGTTGGCTCGTTCGCGAAACTCCAATTCTCAACTGACAATTCTGTCTGCAACCCCCAAACAAGTTGAATGCGGGTCCTCTTCGGCTGCATCAGAGACTTCAATGGCTTCGGCGTCGCTCCGACACTCTTCTCCATGTGCTCCTCGCTTCTCTGCTTCCTGTCCAGCATCCTGAGAGCCCTCGCCCTTCACAGGAAGGGCCTTCAAGTCTTCTTCTTGTTCAGGCACCTGATCAAAGCGATCCCGGCCGAGTCCAAGCATGCCCAAGCCTAAGCCCACTAAACCGCGAGCTACTCAGGTCCTGTCCTAATCCCTTGCTGACGCCACGGGCTGCAATTCCACAGAACAAACACGCCAGACCTCCAGGCCCTACCACAGTCCGTGCTTTTACAGCCCGCCGTCCTAAACCCCTAAACTGCAAACTCGAAACATGGTCCATGAGCTCGGCTGTCAATGCTTTCAATCGCAACACCCGAGATCCCTGCGGCACAACCCCAAGGACCCCAATCATCACTGTCGACAGAGGTCGCCTCACTCTTTGACGGTGATCGCGGATTCGGGCTGATCTCTCTGGTCTCCACTGCATCAGAAAAACTGAGTGTCTTCCTCGGCTTGTGGCGGCCTGCATCCCGAAGAATCGGTCGTCTCTCCGGGTACGATGCGCCGGAAGACGACGATCCTTCAGCGCTTTTGAAGCACACAGCAGCTTCCGAAGCCGCAGCCTCACAGGGAACTTCGTCCGGCCGACTTTCCAAGGCCGTCCATGAGCGCCACGACGTTGTGTGCTTCATCTCAGGATTATCCTGGAGAAGGCCCCAGGGGATGTGTTGGATGTGTGGGCGCTGGCCCGCGTTAAGTGAATTGTTGCTGACACAAATCCTCTGATCTTGCGAACCGAGTTGGCTATGGTTGGAACAAAGTGGTCTCGCTACGTCCCCCTCTGCTTCATTAGGCGCAGCTACATAGGATTGGCCCCAAGCAGCAAGCCTGCTTCAATTGCACCACGGCCGCACCGTTGGCCACCAGTGCCCTAGGCGCTTCCGCAGGCTCCTCCTCTGGCTCTGGCAGCCCTTCTCTGGCTGTCCGAACTGGCTCCTGCATGAATAAAGGGTGCTGGCAGTGAAGATCAAGGTAATTAAGAACAAAGGCACTGGTGTGGATCGTAACACTGGCACCTTTCTCGTAGCAGTCATGGCATGTCTCGCGCAACCGTGCACCCCAAGCACTGCATGGCATGTTGGTGGGGGGGAGGGGGGTGTGCTTGATGTCTTTGATTGCAATCTTCGGTCGATGTTTCTGAACACAGGACAGGCCACATCCGCCTGTCCTGCCACTTGTGGCAACCAATCTGCTTGGTCCGTGCAAACAGTTCTGAGTTTTTTAAATTCTAGCCCGAACCCCTAAGCCCTGAACGACAAGCTTGTCTTCTGTCGGCTGGGGTGGAGGGGGGGGGGGGGGCGGGAGGGGGTGCATCGAAAGAGTTGGGTGACAGAAGCTGTTGGCTCCAAAAGGGGCTTTGCCACAGGGATTTCGGGTGTTGCGATTGAAAGCATTAACAGTCTCACCCATGGGCCAAAAGCTGCACCTTGGCAAGGTTCAGGGTTTAGATATGCACAGCTTTGGTTCGAAAGGCGTTCGTGTCATGGGAAGAACGCCACGTGAACTGCGACCAAAGTCCGGTAGTGCGATCGGGACTGCTGGCAAAGGCTGCATAGGGGTCTTCTTGGTGGCGCCATTTCGGTATTCATCAGCACATGACGACGCAGACTGCCAGAGCCTTTAGTACTGACAATGAGTTACGGCCCTATCAACCGTGCAGAGAAGCCGTGGGCCTCAGGTCCAGCATCCTCTGTGGCCAGCGCCTGTCGATCGGAAAGCGCAATGTGTTTTAGTTCAGCGTTAATTCAGCGGCTGCTTGGTTTGGACTGGGGCCGGGGATTGGCCGACACGACTCACCGAGGTTTCAGGGACGTTCTTTCTGGTATCACTGTCGGACACAGGCAGCCCCCCCCCCCCCAGCATCGGCTGCCTCATCAAGTGCTTGGTCCTCCTTTGAGCCACCGGCATCCTCCCAAACAAACGAGCCGGACTCATCAGCCTCGGGCGCATCATCGGCGGATTCATCTTCAGCTTCAGGGACGTTCTCTCCAGCATCACCGACATCGGCTGCCTCGTCGACCGCCTTGCCCTGCTTCGCACCGCCTGGAGTGCCGCCCTCTGGGTCAGCATCCTCGGCCTCATGAAGCGGGATCTGGCAGTCATCCTTCAATGCACCCGACCCGGACTGATCGGCCTCAACCGCATCATCGGCGGCTTCATCTTCGGCGACACGGACATGCTCTGCAGCATCGCCGTCGACACGGGCAGCCTCCCCAACATCGGCTGCCTCGTCGACCGCCTTGCCCTGCTTCGCGCCGCTTGGAGTGCCGCCCTCTGGGTCAGCATCCTCGGCCTCACAAAGCGGGATCTGACGGTCAACCTTCAAAGCACCGGACCCTGACTGATCGGCCTCGGCCGCATCATCGGCGGCTTCATCTTCGGCGACAGGGACATGCTCTGAAGCATCGCCGTCGACACGGGCAGCCTCCCCAACATCGGCTGCCTCGTCGACCGCCTTGCCGTGCTTCGCGCCGCTTGGAGTGCCGCCCTCTGGGTCAGCATCCTCGGCCTCACAAAGCGGGATCTGGCTGTCATCCTTCAAAGCACCCGACCCGGACTGATCGGCCTCAACCGCATCATCGGCAGCTTCATCTTCGGCGTCAGGGACATGCTCTCCAGCATCACCGTCGACACGGGTAGCCTCTCCAGCATCGGCTGCCTCATCAACTGCCTTGTCCTGCTTCGAACCACCGGCAGTGTCATTCTCTAGCTCATGAATCGCGATCTCAATGTCATCCGCGTTGTTCTGTCGGCCCTCGGCCGAACCAACCTCCTGCGCACCATCGCACTCTTTGTTGTGCATGGAACCAGCTTTGCCCGCATCAGGAGGCACATCGGCCTCAGACACATCGCCTTCCACCTCCTCATGGCTTTGCTCCGATCCTGAGCAGTCTTCCTGTCGCTCCTCTTCAGAACCCTCCACGTCGGCAGAGCCTTGTGACGAATACTTATCTGAGTACTCGTCGTACTCGTCCCCCTCCTCATCCTCTTCAGGGGCCGTGACTTCTTCGCACCTGTCATCCGATCCAGACTCGTCTGAGCACTCCTCCTCATCCTCTGCCGCGCGGTCTGACGCGTCGACGCTTGCATCTTCCTCCTCCTCGAGGGTTTTGGGTTCGGTTTGGGGGGTAAGGAGCTTGTGGGGATTTAAGGTTTTGGGGTTGAGGGGTGTAGGGCTTCCCTCCGCCACCCAACCCTTAGCCCCAAACCCCTAAACCCCTAACCCCCACCCTAAACTTCCCCTCCCCTCAAACAGGTGCGGGGCCCGTTTCCGAAACCCAACAGCTCCTGAAACCCCATGCTAGGGGCCCATCGAAGGATTTGTCAAGGCCTGGCCCTCTGAATCCACGTGTTACATAAGGGTCCCCCCGTCGTCATGATGCTTGCAAGTTATATTGAATCACAAGGCTGCAAGAGTACCTTGCACTGGCCAGATACTTTGATGTTTTATCACAAAGCCCTAAGTACAGAAGTGCCTGCGCTTCCTCGTCGTGGACATCGCCACACCGCATCTCTGCCTGCATGACCGACGCAGAGCCACAGGGTTTAAGGCTCCGTACAGTTTAATTGTGATTCAGCGTTTGGGCCTCTCTTTTTACAGTTGGCTCAACACACTCACTCTACTGGCTCCATTTCGGTATTCGGCAGCACATGACGGCACACACGGCCAAGAGTCTTCAAAGCTGACGACAGAGCTCTGGGCCTCAAGGCCAGCATCCTCTGTGACCAGCGCCTGTCAGTTCAAAAGTGCAATGTGCGCGGTGAAGTACGGCTGCTACTTTGTCTGCACTTGGTATCCGGCATGACTCACTAAGCAGTCGGTCTTTGGCCTGCCTTTGGCACCGGAGACTGTGGAAGATGGACCGAGCTGGCGTCGGAAGGTACATCATCTGAGGCCTCGCCAACATTGCCAGCACATCTGCCCCACCGTGCATCACGTTGCTGGGAGAGTTGCTTCCACTGGCTGCATGCTCTCAGGCCTTCATGACAGACCCAAGCAATTAAGCCCTTTCCCCAAGGCACACACTCAACCACCAAACATGCCCAAACAACAACCGCCAAAAGAACCTGTAAATCCCGAAGTCATGACTCAGATGGGGGTTTCCGAAAATAGGGGGTACCCTTTTTAGGGCTCTTGTAAAAGGATTCTAGTACTTTGGGGTATCTTTTGGGGTACCCCTATTTTCGGAAATCCCCAGATTACTGGTGAGCCAGACTTACAAGCCACTCCTCTATTCAGGGCGGGGAGGACCCACTATGGCAAAGGACGCATGGGTCTTCTTGGTGGCAAAATTTCAGTATTCAGCTGCACTGCACATGACGACACAGACTCCCAAGAGTCTTTAAACCGACAATGAGTTACGGCCCTGTCAACCGTGCAGAGAAGCCGTGGGCCTCAGGTCCAGCATCCTCTGTGGTCAGCGCCTCAAGCGCAATGTGCTTTCGTTTAGCATTTATTCCAGTGGCTACTTGGTTTTGGCGGGGGATTAGCCGACATGACTCACCGAGGTTTCAGGGACGTTCTTTCTGGTATCACTGTCGGCACAGGCAGCCCCCCAGCATCGCCTGCCTCATCAAGCGCTTGGTCCTCCTTTGAGCCACCGGCATGCAGCGTGACGTCACCATCCTCCTCCCAAACACCCGAGCTAGACTCATCAGCCTCGGACGCATCATCGGCGGATTCATCTTCGGCTTCAGGCACATTCTCTCCAGCATCACCGTCATCGGCTGCCTCGTCGACCGCCTTGCCCTGCTTCGCCCTGCCTGGAGTCTCACCCTCTGGGTCAGCATCCTCGGCCTCATGAAGCGGGATCTGGCTGTCATCCTTCAAAACACCCGACCCGGACTGATCGGCCTCGGCCGCATCATCGGCGGCTTCATCTTCGGCGTCAGGGACATGCTCTCCAGCATCGCCGTCGACACAGGCAGCCTCCCCAACATCGGCTGCCTCGTCGCCCGCCTTGCCCTGCTTCGCACCGCCTGGAGTGTCGCCCTCTGGGTCAGCATCCTCGGCCTCATGAAGCGGGATCGGGCTGTCATCCTTCAAAGCACCCGACCCGGACTGATCGGCCTCGGCCGCATCATCGGCGGCTTCATCTTCGGCGTCAGGGACATGCTCTCCAGCATCGCCGTCGACACAGGCAGCCTCCCCAACATCGGCTGCCTCGTCGACCGCCTTGCCCTGCTTCGCACCGCCTGGAGTGTCGCCCTCTGGGTCAGCATCCTCGGCCTCATGAAGCGGGATCTGGCTGTCATCCTTCAAAGCACCCAACCCGCACTGATCGGCCTCGGCCGCATCATCGGCGGCTTCATCTTCGGCGTCAGGGACATGCTCTCCAGCATCGCCGTCGACACAGGCAGCCTCCCCAACATCGGCTGCCTCGTCGACCGCCTTGCCCTGCTTCGCACCGCCTGGAGTGTCGCCCTCTGGGTCAGCATCCTCGGCCTCATGAAGCGTGTCATCCTCCAAAGCACCCGACCCGGACTGATCGGCCTCGGCCGCATCATCGGCGGCTTCATCTTCGGCGTCAGGGACATGCTCTCCAGCATCGCCGTCGACACGGGCAGCCTCCCCAACATCGGCTGCCTCGTCGACCGCCTTGCCCTGCTTCGCACCGCCTGGAGTGTCGCCCTCTGGGTCAGCATCCTCGGCCTCATGAAGCGGGATCTGGCTGTCATCCTTCAAAACACCCGACCCGGACTGATCGGCCTCGGCCGCATCATCGGCGGCTTCATCTTCGGCGTCAGGGACATGCTCTCCAGCATCGCCGTTGACACAGGCAGCCTCCCCAACATCGGCTGCCTCGTCGACTGCCTTGCCCTGCTTCGCACCGCCTGGAGTGTCACCCTCTGGGTCAGCATCCTCGGCCTCATGAAAGGGGATCTGGCTGTCATCCTTCAAAGCACCCGACTCGGACCGATCGGCCCCGGCCGCATCATCGGCGGCTTCATCTTCGGCTTCAGGGACATGCTCTCCAGCATCACCGTCGACACAGGCAGCCTCTCCAGCATCGGCTGCCTCGTCAACTGCTTTGTCCTGCTTTGAACCACCGGCAGTGTCGTTCTCTAGCTCATGAATCGCGATCTCAATGTCATCTGCGTTGCCAACCTCCTGCGCATCATCGCACTCTTTGTTGTGCACGTGACCAGCTTTGCCCGCATCAGGAGGCACATCGGCCTCAGATACATCGTCTTCCTCCTCCTCCTCCTCCTCATAGCTGTACTCCGATCCTGAGCCTGAGCAGTCTTCCTGTCGCTTCTCTTCAGAACCCTCCACGTCGGCAGAGCCTTGTGACGAATGCTCATCTGAGTACTCGTCGTACTCGTCGTACTCGTCCTCCCCATCCTCTTCAGAGCCCGCGACTTCTTCGCCCCCGTCATCCGATCCAGATTCGTCTGAGTACTCCTCCTCATCCTCTGCTGCGCGGTCTGAGGCATCGACCTTTACATCTTCCTCCTCGTCCACCTCCTCCTCTTCATAGCTGTACCCGCAATGCTCGTCGCATGCGTCGTCACATGCACGACTTGGCTTCACTGTCCTACCTTCTGCATCGGCATACTTCTCCACTGAGCCCTGTGACGAGTACTCACCTGAGAACTCTGCTGGAGCATCTGCAGACGTGGGGCAGAGGTTGTCTGCGGCGTCTTCGACCTTTTCAACATCTTTTTTGTGGTCGAGGTTCTCTAGAACTCTTGGCTTGGCAGGTACTATATGGCGGTTTACGATATTTGTGGTACCTTTTGGGGCTATTCGGGGGTCAAAATATTTTAGGGGTCTCCTTACTTGCGTAGCATGCGCCGGGCAAGCGTGCTCAGGGCTTCTGACAGTGCAAATCTGAGCACTTCTTCTGCGCAAGAGATGGAGTTGCAAAATGCAACCTTCCTTCTAATTGCCCGGCCTCAGGCGGAGATTTTGCGAGAGGACGCAAGTTCTCGGACGCGCCCTCGGCGTCCTCAACATCATTGCAGCTAGCTTCTGCTCGCAGGATGCTGTAGCAGTTTGCAGATTCCTCCCCCTCTCCCCAGTGCCGTGAGGCCTCCGCTGGAGCATCTGCAGATGTGGGGCAGTGCTCTGCGGCGTCTTCTGCCTTTTCATGACCGAGGTTGTCTGCATTCCTGACTTAGGGCCTTAGGGGGTACTGTGGTCAGGAGCATGCTCAGGACTTCTGAAGGTGCAAATCTTAGCTCGTAGCTTCCGGACAAAAGGCGTTACCCTTCCAATTGCCCAGCCTCAGCTGGAGTTTCTGCGGAGAGCGGCCGCAAGTTCTCGGGCAAGCCCTCGGCGTCCTGCATAGCTTGAATTTTGCTGTAGGGTTTAGAGTTCAGGCATGCGATTTCAGGTTCAGCGCTGAGGTTCTCGGCGCCTCCTGCTTGGGGTCACCATGGATGCCTTCACGGTGCTTCTCGAGGGTCTGCGCCTGCGATAGGCTTCGATAGGGGCTTCCGAAAAATCAGGGTTGTGCTTTTTTGTAGGGGTTGGGGGGGGGGGGGGGTTCCTGCAATAAGGCTTTTGTTTCAATTTGCTGGGGCTATCTTCGGGGAACCCCCATTTGGGAAAGTACCGAATCGACGGCTTGCAAGGAGCCTGGGGATGTCTCCGGTCTGTGATCCAACTAACCCCCGAACCCTAAACCCTAAACTCTAACTCTAAACTACTATTTGCTAAGAACCTGCCCCCAAAATTTATAATAAACAAGAAGAGTATTATTCCTTATAAAGATAATATGAGCGACCGTCAAGACTATAGAGGTCGGGCCTAGGTCGCGTAATAGGGGTGTCGCTTTCCCCGTCGCTTTACCAGGGTTTTGCATGGTTTTGGTGCAACCCGTCGCTTTACAGAGGTTTTGTCTTACGGGCTACTCAAACAAGGGGCGTCGCTTCTCAGTGTTCCTCGTCGGCTTACAGGGTTTTCGACACTTCAGCACGCAAAAGTCCTACCAAGATAAAACCGCAAGTACCATAGTTTTGACTCATTTTGACCCTTGCTCATGTAGGGATTATTGTTTTAGACTTTTTGGGGGCTGCGCCTGCGATAGCATGTTGTCGGGTTCCATGAGGGTTTCCGAAAACGGGTATCAGTGTTGGGGGAGGGAGGGGTGGCGTACCTATAAATACCCATGGACGGATTGAAGGGAGTCTCGGTTCAGTGATCGGGCCTGTTGCACCACAGACTGTGGAACCGGATGGGCCGAGCTGACATCATCTGAGGCCTCGCCGAGGGCTTGAGTGTTCGGTGCTTGGGCCTCCCTTATAACAATCGAGACAAAAAAGGGTTCGAAAGGCGTTCGTGTCATGCACGTGAATCTGCGACACAGTCCGGTAGTGCGATCGGGACTATTGACTACTGGTGAGCCCAACAACCTCTGATTTCAGGCAGGCTTAAGACAAACAAGCCACTCGTCTATTGAGGGCCGGCAGGACCCACTATGGCAAAGGGCGCATAGGTCTTCTTGGTCGGTATTCAGCTGCACATGACGACACAAACTCCCAAGAGTCTTTAATACTGACAACGAGTTACGGCCCTGTCAACCGTGCAGAGAAGCCGTGGGCCTCAGGTCCCGCATGCTCTGTGGCCAGCGCCTATCGATCGGAAAGCGCAATATGCTGTAGTTTAGCGCTAATTCCAGTGGCTACTCGGTTTGGACTGGGGCCGGGGATTGGCTGACATGACTCACCAAGGTTTCAGGGACGTCCTTTCTGGTATCACTGTCGACACAGGCAGCCCCCCAGCATCGCCTGCCTCATCAACTGCTTGGTCCTCCTTTGAGCCACCTGCGTGCAGCGTGACGTCACCATCCTCCTCCCAAACACCCGAGCCGGACTCATCAGCCTCGGGCGCAGCATGGGCTCCAGGTACGTTCTCTCCAGCATCACCGTCATCGGCTGCCTCGTCGACCGCCTTGCCCTGCTTCGCACCGCCTGGAGTGTCGCCCTCCGGGTCAGCATCCTCGGCCTCATGAAAGGGGATCTGGCTGTCATCCTTCAAAGCACCCGACTCGGACCGATCGGCCCCGGCCGCATCATCGGCGGCTTCATCTTCGGCTTCAGGGACATGCTCTCCAGCATCACCGTCGACACAGGCAGCCTCTCCAGCATCGGCTGCCTCGTCAACTGCTTTGTCCTGCTTTGAACCACCGGCAGTGTCGTTCTCTAGCTCATGAATCGCGATCTCAATGTCAACTGCGTTGCCAACCTCCTGCGCATCATCGCACTCCTTGTTGTGCACGTGACCAGCTTTGCCCGCATCAGGAGGCACATCGGCCTCAGATACATCGTCGTCCTCCTCCTCCTCATCCTCATAGCTGTACTCCGATCCTGAGCAGTCTTCCTTTAGTTCCTCTCCAGAACCCTCCACGTCGGCAGAGCCTTGTGACGAATACTCATCTGAGTACTCGTCGTACTCGTCCTCCCCATCCTCTTCAGAGCCCGCGACTTCTTCGCCCCTGTCATCCGATCCAGACTCGTCTGAGTACTCCTCCTCCTCCGCCTCCTCTGCTGAATTATGTCATAGAAATGCACTCTATATATATATATATATATTATATACATGTGTATAATCTATGCCAATTTAACTTTTTGGGGGCCCACTTAACAAGAGGCTCAGATGTGTTGTTGAGATCGAAATATCGTTCACGTAGTGCAAGTCTTGAGCTCACAAGCTCACAAGCGGACTGAGCGATGAAACCGCTACACCGCACGACCGCTAGCTTCTTCAATTCAAGTGCGTGAGTACTGCAAGCAGCCCAAGAAGTCCTGCTGCCGGGCTACTGCGCTCTCTGGATCCTTATCACACACTGTACACCACAAAGTTGAAAGTTCTCATGGACTTCTAGACTCCTGTCGCGAGGCGAAAGCATATGCAGGCTGGGCGGCCCTGGCAATGACAGCAGGTGACAGTGAGATCGGCCTCGGCACTCGGCTTGGGAGAGCTCAGGTACGAGCAGGTTTCATGTTACACTGCGCGCATCCGCGCGATGTGGGGGTGCAGTAGACGCGATCTGGTCAGATTGTGCGACAAGGAGAAGGATTTGCAAGCAGGGAGTCAAACTCTGGCTCTGGATCTTCCAGGGACCTTCCTCCCCCTCAAGCGCCACGGGTTCAGGGTTGATGCGTCGTGGCGAGTGTATGCGCGCGTGTACACAATCAGTACAATACGTACTCGTCTCATAGTCAGGCCACTGCCCAGCACCAATGGCATCGGCTGGAGACCTTTGTGGCGTCTTTCAAAACTCAGGCAAGATGCATATGCGGACTACCGACGGACTTCTGACCATGCAAACATCCTATGCCATGGCTCGCGGCACCAGAAAGCCCTCAAAACGAAACTAGGGTAACTAGGGCATCGGATCAGGGTCCACCATCTTCGTGCTGTCTTGTCCGATCACCATGCGAGCAGCGTCCTTCTAATGCAGGATCCTTGCTCGCAAGGCGGTGCTGATTCGTGCTGCCACTGCGCCCTCGACTTGACAGTGAGGTTGAGGAAGGCTTGACGAATCAACTTCTCAGTCCGATGCGAGTAAGATCTCGGCTTCAGAACAGGAAGCCCTCGGCCCTCAGCCCTCTCGGCCTACGGAATGTGTGAGTGCCTCAGCAGGCGCCTTCAGAATGGAAGCAACCGCAACACGAAGGTCCGTATAGGTCCATTCTTCTCGCAGTCTCTAAGAGGGTTTGTGCCACTCGCCCAAGGGCAGTTCTGAGGGGGCCAGAGTCTGAAGTCAGGAAGATGCCAAGTTCCGGGAGCCTTTCGGTGTATGCAGTGAGGCTTGACGAGTGTGTGGCGGAGGGTACTGAAGCTCCTAAGCCCTGGACCTCTATCAAAACCCTAGTCTCTCTATATAAACCGTCTCGACGTTTCCGTATAACGAGGCCCGGGCTCTTCCGAAATCACTGCGCAGTGCTTGTCGTCCTGCGACTGGCTGGAGGACCTGCAGAAAGACAAGCCCATGAGGTCACACCCCTTAAGTTGCCATGGAACACACAAACGCCTCGCTTACGTACAGATATCCTCCGAACCCAGCCGGAGCAGGGGCGGTGTCAGTTGAAGACCCATTGTTTCCCAACAATCTCTACACACTGGTCTGGACCCCCTGCCCTCACACCTGCTTTCCATTGAGTGATTGACGTAGAGTTAAAGGGCTGCTCCAACATGGCCCCAAACCTCACCGCCCACATCTTATGCTGCCTGGACCCCGACTCTATGTCCCTTACCCTCCTCCACCTCACCGCCCGCACCGCCCACACCGCCACCCCCCTCCCGCCCTCACGCCCCATCCCAGTAGATCCAATGCAGCCCCAAAGCCCTGGGCCTTACCTGGACCCAAAGGCGATTTAAAGGGCTTCGCCCAGAGATTCGTTGAATCTACATGCTAGGGTTTTCCGTTTTCATGTTTAAAGAGTTTTGCTGGGATTTAAACATTTGTTTAAACACCTCAATTAAAGAGCTTTCTTGATGCTCTCTTTTTGGAAGAAGAAAGGCAAACATATATATATATATATATAATATACATATTAAACCATAGAGTGTAGGAGGCCTCTCCGTTTTGTGGAGGAGGTGCCTCCTGGGGCTGGATTGAGGTTCATGAAGCTGTTTGTAGCGGCCAGTGTGTTCAGCATCGCAGCAGAGGTGCATGGATTGTTTCGCTGCATCAATTGCTTCTTTTTGTGCATGGCTTACAGGGCCATAGGTTTTCCATCGTTCCACTGTGTATGGCTGCCATGGTCCACAGGACGAAGAACACAGCGAGCGCCAAGGCCATAGCTAAAGGTCTAGAGTAGCAGGACTTCCTGACGAGAATAGCCCTTGCAGCGCAGTGGTCATGTCAGGAAGAGCTCATGCTGCGTGTCGGTTGTTGCGCAGCACAGTTGTTTGCCACAACCGTACTTTGTGATACTTGCGCAGCCATGGCAGCTGCGGCACCTCCTCCCCCACCTCCTCTGGGGCCAGGCTGTGCGCGTGTGTGTGCAGGTGTGATGTTCGTTTCAGAGTCCCTCCTCTTTCAGTTCGCGCTGCAATGCTTGACCTGTCCAAGTCTCCCGGGAAGAAGTACTGGTGGGAGAGAGATGAGAAGGATGATGATTGGGTGGGGATGAGCTCGAAGATGATCATTTGGACATGAGTGTGGTCGATGTCTGCGAGTGCAAGAAGCGCTTTCATAGCTACTTGAGATCTGGGAGATGTCTAAACTACAATGGCTACTGGCTTGTTACAGCTCTCAAACACAGGAGGGCGCTCGTATCTAGGAGTGCTATCCGTTTGGACTCTGCGCAAGCTCAGCTGAGATCCTGACTCATCAAACCGGCCCCACCAATCACCTTTTCCGGATGTTCTGCAGCTTCACGATTAACGATCGCAAAACTAGACTCCACCAGCTAACAGGATACTGCCAACACAGCCAACAAGGGATAGGGAAGACTATGC